CTCAAGGAAGAAGCGGAAAGGCACAATCAAGAGGAGCCTCACTGGAATCGGAGGACACTATGTCTTGGAGAAAATCTCTGAGAAAGTCCGTCAACCGATGTCAAGGCTGAATTGCGTCGTGAAATGCTACCGCGATGCTGGGTGGAGGTATAGTGTGTGGCGCATAGCAAAAAAAAACATCGTTTCTTACAGCAAGTTTTGGCGCTGTTCGACGACGGGGTGGGGGCATTTTGCACTTTCTCTGCTGCACTAGTTCCGATTTCCAGGTTTCACTCTGGTAAAGCCTGTGAACTCTTGTTAAGCTAGAGTAGGCTCGTCGAGCTACCATGATAAAACCTGTCAACCCTTGTGAGCTCATGAAATAGCTCTCTGGTTAGTAGCAAAGTGCAAATGCCCCCCCCCCCCCCGTCGCCGAACTGCGCCCACTTTTTTTATTCCCACCTATACTTACTAGGTTAACGTATTGTAATCGTTGTTATTCAAAACCTGCGCAGCGTAAGGGCCTCATTAGTGAGCGATAGCTGATAAGCCCCTGGATTATCTGACCATATGCGAAGGCTTCTGTTTGTCCTTGACGTGCCCTTTGTCATCTTGGGATTACGGAGGGGAGGGGGGAAGCCCCTGCAATTGTTTACGGGAGACTGACCTCATGACGTTCTCATCTACACAAAGGGCATCGTTTTCTGCAGCTGCCCTATGGTTAAAATCACCAAGAAATCGTCATAAGATAAGCTGGGATGCGCCGTGCACTTTCTTCCATTGAGAACAAGGACCCGATCGTAAGCCCCAGCGCCTACTTTAGCGACTTTCCGTGTTAGGCGCCCATTCCATCGAAATAGCAAGGAGAAAGAAACTGGTCCGGAGCTTACCGTGACAGCGTTGGAGAAAAACTCTTCTGCTTCCTCAGAGGCAAAGTCCACGCTGATCGATGGGCGAGGACAGGTAACCATTTGTTGCTTGAGGGCCTCATTCGCGTACTTCTTCAGCAGTCACGGTCTACATCAGTAGTATGATCGACAACAGCCTATCGTTGTGCCTTCTTCACCGGTGATGACCTAAGAGAAGGCCTGACTCCGCCCACACGATTATCGTAGGTTGTGGCTCTGTGCTCTCACCTCCACTTCGGCTTCTGGTGGTAAGCTGAGCTTGAATGTTCCTGCCGCGAAAAGTTCTTTCAAACTTGCAACGTTGAAATTTGATCCGAAGTGACCGTGCTTTGGACACGAGTCGCCGCTGTAAAAACCCTCATAGAAATCGCCGATGAAACTTGGACCACGGCGCTGTTTGTCGACGGGGGGGGGGCATTTTTAATTATCATTGCTTCCCTAGTTCCGGTTTACAAAGCTCACTCTGGTAAAACTTGTGAACTCTTGTGAAGCTGAAGTAAGAATTGACTGGTCTCGCCACCATCGTGAAACGTGTCAATTCGAGAAACGGCTACCATCGATGGATCAAACACATCCTATGGAAACAAAGTCCCCCTCTTCGTAACAAACTGCGGCCTTGGACCACGCCTGTATCGACAATATAATCAGGATCAAAGCTTGGTATCAAATAGCCGTCCGCTACAGTTCTACTAGGACATAATTTTTCAGTTTCGAATGGCCGTTGCAGAGAATCGCCGCTGACTATACATTCCACACTACCGCAAATGAGCTCCTTTGTCTTCAATATTCACAACTAGTTGTCAGTCCATGACTCGGCAGACCACTTCTCTCAGGAATAACCTATCCATGCTGAGCGCGAAAGACACTTCCGGTGACACACGGTGCCGAATAGACAGAAGAGTTTGCACATATGCATTTCTTAATACCATGTTGGGATGCCGAACATATATGAGTGACTGGTTTGGTTGGCTCGGTGCGGCATTGTGTCTGTTTAAGCTCGATCACTTGCTAAGCCCCCCAGCCGATCGAAAGACGCATGCGAGCCTGCGTAAAGCTCTGGGCAGCATAATGGACCACTTTTTCCACACTTGACAAGGGTTCACGTATGTCCTTTCTGAAGGGTGACTCGTGTAATGTAAAGGATCTGGTCAAGGATAATCAAGCTATAGCAAAAAAGCTCCCCTCCCAAGCGACTACACCGACTCCAGACAGACTGTTAGGCACATGTTCGTCCTTAGTGAGCGCAAAAGCTACAGCACTGTATTACGCTTTCTAGGTTAGTTTCCGGTCTTGGCCAGCGGCTGCATTGGCTAGGGGTGGGGGGGGGGCGGAGAAAGTAGTTCAAAATGTCATCGGTGGAGGTGCACTCACCCACGCGCACTTTTACCAATGACCTGTGAACAATTGCCCCGCCCACTAGTTCGGTACTAAACAACCTATGGGATGGAAGGCACGAGTGGACCTGGATGCGTGATTTGGCCTACATACCGTGAGCGGTGGGCAGTGCCACTCTCCACAGGCTCTCACCAGGGCCATCTTCAGGCTATTTTCTGACGCATTTCGGCTTGGTGGGCGTAACGAACGGTAATCAGCTGAGATTCTACGGGCTGCCTTATGAAGGTTCTTAATTCATGTAACCGAAGAGGCTCAATTGTACCATTCCGCAGCTTCGAAAAAGTTTACACGTCCTACCAAAGTGCGACCTGTTAGTTGACATGAACTAACCAGACGAACTAGCGAAGAAGCTAATTGCCCCCTCCAAACCGAACAGTGCCCTTTTAATCTGTGATGAAAGAGGACAATTACAGCACTCCTCCTCAGAGAGAACTCTTCAAAAGGCAGAGTCGTAACGTGGGAATATGGCAGAATCGCGAGCTAAAAGACCATTTGCATTGAAAAGTGGTCCCTTGGAAAATGTGGAAAGCAAAGACCAGTAGACTACTGCAAGCGGAAGTGATACCATTAATTCTAAATAAAGGCTCAGATGGGTCCTGCACGTTCCCGGTCGTTATTTCTGCGCTAAAGTGCCTGCCGCTGACCAAATTTCAGTGTCCATGATCTCCGCTCGTTTTATTGCGGCGCTTAGTGCCCATAAACTCAGTTCCCGAATGGGAACTTGTCACGTCTTTCATTGAAGTTTCTTCCCTTTCTTATGGCTCTTAGCCTATTCTGTATGATGATATATCCGGCTACCTCATCAGGTTACGTATAAAGCGCAAATGGCGCTTCACTTGGAGGGGACACCGAATGCTACTCAGCAAATCCTGTACAGGCCACCCTTGTGAAGACATGCGAATTCTTGTAACCAAAGCGGCTCAGTTGTACCATTTCACAGTTTCAGAAGGGTTTACAAGTCTTATCAAGTTCAGACCTGTCATCTAAGACGAACTGGCTAAAGAATTAGCAAAAGTATAAAATGCCCTTCCCCTCCAGTTTGAATAGCGCAGCAGAATTTCTACAAACAATTACGGAGGCTCTTAATTGGTAGGATCTGAAAACCGGCTCCCGCTTCGCCATGCAGACTACTAGTGGAAAGTACCGTATACAAGCATCTGTAACCTCTTCTCCTTCACGTCTCCCACCGTTGATTCCCTAGCGTGCTAGCAGCGTTTGGTCCAGCATGGCCAGCTTCTCGAACCCGGACTTTAACGAAATTTTCGCTTGGGGTAGCCACAGATGGGTGGCGCCGGGGAATAATGTCATTGACCCGCCCTCCTCTTCCCGTCTTCCTTTTCTCTGCAAAAGCGGAAGTCGTTTCAAGGAGTTGTTCACTACCGAGAACCCCGTAGAGAAAATACTGCTACCATCTTTAAAATAGCAAATGAGGCAGAACGAGAATCTTGTAAGGTCGTCCATTTGGGGGGCGTGGTGGGCGTTTGAGTCGGTACGTGGTAGCTTGATAGTACCTTTATAAGGGTACCTCCCTAAGAAAAACCGCTACGCAGCGCCTACTCAGGGTCGCGGAAATCCCGACCTGCCAGGCGTATCAATCCTACTTGTCTTTAGGGATTTATCGTGCCAACTAGCTTTAAACTTGAGCTCGCGAATGAATCATCAAATTCCCTCCACTTCTATGGAAGCCCCTGGGTCCTGAGCGATTAATCCGAGTAGCTATGGTAATGCAGATAAATGCTCTTGTAGCTAATTCATCACTCATTACTTGAGTTCTCTGATGTCGTTTCAGAGACATTTTCGGAGCCATTCATCAAGTCCAGGTGGCCTATTAGTCCCTCAGAATTATGAGTGTCCCAAAAATAGCACATGAATCCAACCTTCATTTATTTTGAGCATTGCCTCGCTCAGTCGCTGCACAATCACATTCTGGTTAATTGGATCATAGCTGTCCCAGAAATCACGCACTACTAATAGCACCCCCTTGCTTACGTGCTGTGGTCCTCACCCTATCAGACCACCTTGCGCTTTACCCAGGTGACCTAGAAGTAGCCCACCAACTCTCATGAAGAAATGAAGAGAATACCCAACGCCGACCTAGCCCATTGGGGATGCGCATACCGACATTTAACTTGGATGCGGTATCTTGACCTACCCCGCCAAGCTCTTATTTAGGCATCCTGGTTCCAGGCCAGTTTCCAGATGAAATCCTGATTGGTTTCGATGGGATTCCATCTCTTACCGAACCGTACGGTAGAGTAAGCCCTGTGCACTAAGCTCAAGCATTGGTGGTTGCTTGAAAGACTAAAAGATTGCCATTCGTTTTTTTGCGTTTCCCACTTATTTACTGGGCTGAACTCATCCGGGGGGGGGGGAGGGGGGGGGGCGGGAGGAGCGAGGCGGTCGTATTTTGCGTTTCGTACTTGGCGCCAAGAGGAGCTTTTTTAAGAGGCGTTTTGGGAGTTGATTGCTGGCAACCTCCCACTCGACAATATCTTGGGGAACATTAGGAGAGAAGGAATGTAGAATGGGAAAACGAAGAGGGTCTTACCAGAGGAGGAAATTTCTTGGAAGGGGGAATGGAGGGGTCGTATTTCGCAGAAATATTGCATAGCGCTGCGCCTGCTTTCGTCATAGGACATTACCGTCCCATAACTCATACCCATTACCGTCCCATAACTCATACCCATAACTCATATAGCCCTTGACGGAGCTATCCATCACTTTCGAAGGTACTTTCACGAGAAACGAATGGGCAAAGAAATGGGCAAACAATCGTGAATATACTGCCTTTTTCAATAGTGCACTCTTTCTTACAAAATGTCAAAAGAGGGAGGACTCACGTGCCAATGAGGAAGATACAAGAGGTGCAGGTCTCCGCCCACACGGTTTTCACGGAATGTGCCTTTCTGCCTATACAGTGTCTAGTAGATGGCATATTGAAAAGTTTTTCGTAACTGCCTGACCTGAACTTAATGTGCCGTGTATTCATCTCTAGCACTGTTATCATTTCACTAATTGCTTGGAACAACATATCTTCTATACTATGGGGGGACAACCATAAGAGGAAACTTTCCACTACTAAACGAAGAATCGAGTTAGCCATGGACGGGATCAAACCCGTGTGCCAGTGACACTGAGAATGGCGCCTCCCGCTACTGCGCTATGGTCACATCAACACACGTTTGGTTAGCAGTTACTGCAAGCCTGCTGCACAATGTTTTTGTTTACTAGTATAGGGGCGGTTTTCAAGAAACTGCCCTGAGAAATCGATTCCTTTGAAATGACGTCGTGCTGCTCGCAGCTTTCCATTTGTTCTACTGTAAACAACAACACAACAACTCAAGAGCACTCGACTAAATGGATATTCCCCCCCCCTCCCACCACAACAAGCAGTAAACAGCCAGCTACGGAAAGGTAGTAACAACTGGATTACTAGTAAGCGCTGAATGCTGTCAGCTTAGCGCTGAAATTGACGGAAATGAGCCGCCATCCATCGTGGGGCTTGACGAGACGCCCCACGAACCATGGCGACCGTCAGATAGACGAATGCGGCGGCCGGAGCACTACGATGGCGAGAGTCTGGCAAGCCTCACCACAAGCCTGTCGACGGCCTCATGGCAGGCCTTAGTGCTGGCCAGCGAGTTCCCCACGGCTTCAACTGTTCCACTCAGCTTTTCGCCATCCATTCATCGATTCCTCTACCGACATTCTCGTGCTATCGTATCATGCCACCTTACTCATCGATTAGGAAATTTACTGGTACGAGAATTTCCTTATCCTACTATTATACTAGTTCAATATGCTTACTGAGGGCACATCAACGTTGAAGTCTAGGAAATTTTTAGGGCGCAGTTCGCCATGGAGGGGGCACTTCGCAAATTCGCTAGGTTCTTCTTGTTAGTTCATGTCAAATATTTGGTCTCATTTTGGTAGGGCCTGCAAACTCTTGCGAAGCTGAAGTAGTACAAGTGAGCCACTCTGGCAAGAGGAATTAGCAAGTCTTCCCAAGGTGTCCTTACAAACTTCGTGGTAACATTCGATGCCCCTACCAGGATGATCTGCGCAATATTGGCGCTGTCACCTTGGCGAGACGTGTCTTGTCAACTGAACAATGTCCAGCATCGTTGGGGGAATCCCAGCAGAGGGGTCGAACTTGCTGGCTCGAGAAGCGGGCAGTATTTACCAGCTTGCTGGGTCATGAAAAAATTTTTCGGCTGTTGACTTCTTTTGGTTTTCCCGTTTCATCTTCGCTTCACCCACCCCCCCCCCTTCTAGTTGTCAGCTGAATTAACTAGAATTTGTGAGAGCCGGGTTCAGTTGTTGATAGGTAACGAGGCGACCTAGGTAAGACAGTGAACCGGGGTAGTACCAGTTGAGACGAGGAACATGGGGTCGTACTAGAGATGGGGCCATACTGACGTCGACAATTAACTTATCATGTTGCTGTACTCTGAGTTTAAACGAAGCATCCACTATTACATGCTTTATAGGCCTTCCCAAGAGGAGGCGGCAGTGATTGATGGGAACCAACTAAATGCCCCTGAGGCGTAACTGCGGAAGAAATTTTTCATTAACCATTCTTGCACTTTTAGGCGAACACTACACCGTAAACACTATACTCTTGCCGTCGCAGTTTAGGAAGTCTCTCTACCTTCTCCGTTTCCTGCGGATGAGGGGGGGGGCGTATTTTGGGACTCTCCTCTGAAGATTAGTGTTCTCTGGGCTCACTACTTTCTGTCCACGTGGACAGACTTACTTATCTTGATTTTGATTGAAAAAATTACTAATTATAGGCGGTAAAAGCGCAAAGTAATTCATTAATGATCATCAATCAACTTATTTTATTTGTTATTGCCCCCAATTGCTCCTTTTAATAACTCATCACCAGTACTAACTTGTGAGTGCAGTAGAAGCTTGAACGGGATCAAGAGCGCAGTAAAAGTCTACATGGTGCCAAAGAACGGGACATGGCAGTGCCGCCCGGGCCAATCAAGCCTTCTACCCTCCTGGACGGTAAAATTTTATCAGATTCGTCTGGGAGGATGAAAACACTGATTCGAAGATTAACTGGGCTTCTCAAGTCACCGCGTAGGCCCAAAGGCACTACGTTTCTGAATGGAAGCAGAATGCATCCCTGAAGGGATTGATCAACGGTCGAAGCTTAATCCTTTGCGATTTCGAACGGATGTCTTGTACACGGCGTATCCCGTAAGACTCGTGCTGACTGCCCCGCAAAGCAATCACTCTATTCTATCTATTTGCCGTGGATTCGATGGATTACATGCCCTAATGGGTTTATCGCTAGGGTTTATACGAAAGTGTTGTATTTACTTCCTGTCTGGTCGTCGATGTACAACGTCATAGTCTGCATTTGGTCTGTTTTCATTCCCTTACTATTTTGTTATTCGTGATTCAATTATTTATCAACAATTTACAATTGATTTATTTATGCGTAATTTATTTATACTTTCAATATTAACTGTTGTTTACTTATGTGAAAATAATCTTGAATAGTTTATTTGTTATCGCTGAATACTATTTAGGTTATTCAGCTAAGCATAAATCATTTTGTTATCACAAGAATGCTGAGTTATGGGCAAAAGTCGTGCCCCAGGCGGGAGTCGAACCCGCACCTCACGCTTTCCGGGCGAGTGCGCTATCCGTTACGCCACCAGGGCCTATTTCACCCTCTCAGCTTAACGGCATAAGCCCGGAAAGCCGGAAAGCGTGAGGTGCGGGTTCGACTCCCGCCTGGGGCACGACTTTTGCCCATAACTCAGCATTCTTGTGATAACTTTCGTAACGCGTACTGCGGCGTAAAACAGCAGTTATCTAACAAAACGACTTCAATAAAACTATTATGTATTCAGCTAAGCATAAATGAAACGAAATGTATAGGGCACATCGTAGTGATCCTCAGCGGAGGGGGTCGTATAGGAATCACATTCGGTTGCTGAAGGGAGGGGGTCGTACCTACCTCTGAGAAATGTTTTCGATTGTTCAGCCACCTCTAGTTATTTTTCGTTTCATGTGCTCTACTTACCCGTCCCCGAATTGCCCGCCCCAGCCCTCCCGTCAGCTTTTTTTTGAGAAAAATAGTGAAGTTGGCGGTTTTCGGGACTGGTAGATAGGGTGAGCAAGAGGGGTCGTGCTGTGGACGTGAGCTATGATTGATGTCAGCTCGAATAGTCCCGTACAGCGGTGTCAATCTCATAACCCGACCGGTATATTAGAAGCTCGAGAAGCGCCAGTATGGCTTGAGGATTAGAGCCCGTTCACGCCAATTAAACCTTTCGTTCGCCTGGGTAATTGCTACGATACTGAAAGGATTAGAAAAGAGGCGTAGTCGTCGGCTTCGCGTGCCTCTTTACTGCCCGAGTCCTTGTAGGGACGCACATTCATTTGGATGCCTCTCCGAATATGAATGGGAAAAGGAAGCATGGCGCAATCTATGAAAATCGATCGACGACAAAGAAACTAACCCTAGCTCTGTTCGACAGAAAAGCTATCGATACCAAACATAAAACGACTCCCCAAAACTAACCGAAAGAGAATTCACCCCAAAAGGAAAAAGGAGGTAGAAGAGTCACTCGTAGCCCCCCAAAAGGAAAAAAGAGGCAGAAGAGTTACTTAGGAGGTACCAACAAACTTCTGTCAAGTCCCGTACAAGTTGTTGATCGATAGGTTACCTCAGAAAAACTGGTTTCCCTGAAGTTTTTTGTTACCACGGCATCTGTTTTTCTGGACTCGCACCATTGATCATCATCTATCCGCTCATTATTGCGACGTCCACTGAGAAACCCTTGCTCCCCACTTCAATTTCTACTTCTTTACTTTACTTGTTTGTTTATTGTTTACCTGTTTCGACGCTATTTATTTTAACTCCGGAGGTTTTATTTTTTTTCGAAAACTCTAGCTCCACTGGCAGCGGGGGGCCTTTCGTGGAAGTGGGACCCTTTTTCGAGCAGAGGTTTGGCTGATGCGTCATGGGAATCCTTCTCCGGCCCCCTGCCCAGGTCTCGCGGTAAGTATGGCTTGGGTGCCAAAATTACCCACACTGCAAAACACTTGAAGTTAGGGTGAGCTAAACAAGGCTAGGGTTCGAGTGTCTGAGCCATGGTTTACTTAAGGACACCTTGGCGGGGTTTGGCTCGAGGGGGATCAGGGCACAGAGCGGTTCTCAACTGAACTTGTACAACCCACCTTGTGAATCTCTAAAATCCTGAGCCCAAAATAGTAAACCTAGACGATTTCGCAGCTTTACAAAAGTTCACAGGCCTGAGTAAAATGAGCGAAAGTGCACAATGCCCCTTCTAAGCCGAACAGCGCCGACGCTGGGGTTGCCAGGGAGGGGGGGGGGCAGAAACGACATCATTGGCGCCCTTCTCGGTCTCTTTATCGCTATAGGGCGAAAGTGAAGTGCACCCATGACGTCGTTCTCTGACTGCACCCTTCCGGCCGTAACAGATGGGAGCAGTCTACAGAAAATAATTACAACTGATGAATACATGCTTATTCATGAACACTCAGAAAAATGAAAAGAGGAAGCATTGGTCAATCTTCCCCTTTTTGGGATGCGCCGCGCGTTCTATTTCCTCAGTGGTAAAAATAAGACACCCCTTCTCCATCCACTCTACCACATTCTTAGATTTTCCCCAACTTCCTATCCTTTTTTTTTAGTTTCTCCGGCATTTCCCGCGAACTCTCCTACTTCTCCCCATAATTTTGCTGTCGAGCGGGGGGAAGGTGTATATAGCACATGTGAAACACGAACAGTGCCAAAAGTCAAGAACCGGGGAAATTTTTTCTCAAGGCCGCATATTTCATTCAAAAGAGGGCACTATTTACCCTTTACTGCCCCAGTCATCCGAAATCAGGCCAGTTCCTGACCGACTTTTTTCTTGGGCAGATTTTGCTCAAATGTTGTCTCCTGGGGTAGTTTGACCTCCAGAATACGAATATCACATTCGCTCAGCCCGAAACTTCCTGGCGCCCGCGCCACAGGCGCCAATGATTTGGGGTATTTTGGCGCCGGTGCCCGTGGTGCGGGCGCCAGGAGGTTTCGGGTTGAGCGGATGTGATATTCGTGTTCAGGGGGTCAAACTACCCCTGGAGCCAAGTTTTCAGCAAATTCTGCCCACGGAGAAAAAAGTCGGTCAGGAACTGGCCTGGCTGGGGCAGTAAAGGGTAAATAGTGCCTTATTTTATTTATTCATTCGCCTTGAAAGAAAATGTAAGCC